ACACCTACTGTCTCTGGGATTGAGGGTGTGCCAGATTGGGGGGGGGGGGGGCGGCTGGGGTTCCCCGGGCCCAGGGGCTTCTGGGATTAAGGGGGCACCTGGTGTGTGTCTGCCCCTGGAAACTTCTGGGATTGAGGGGTGGTGGGATCCTGGTTCCCCCCTGCCCCAGGGGGGTCTGGGATTGAGGGGTTTGGGGTCGGGGGGCTGGTCTCTCCCCAACCCCAGAGACTTCTGGGATTGAGGGGTGGTGGGATCCTGATACTGCCCTGCCCCGGGGGCTTCTGGGGGCGAGGGGCACAGGGTCCCAGCTGGGGTCCCGCCCAGGTTGCCACCCGCATTCCCCATGAATCCTGGGCCGGGCCTCGCTAACCCCACGGTGTTTTCCCGCAGCTCCTGCCAAGGGCAGCAAATCTCCGGCCAAGGCGGGCGAGGCGGGCGGCGGCGGGACAGACGCCAAGATGGTGGCGTCGGGCCTGACGGAAAACCAGCTGCAGCTGTCGGTAGAGGTGAGTGCGGGGCAGTGTCCGGGTGGGGCGGGGGCGCCCGGTGCCCGCCCCGCCCCCGCTCACCCCATGTGCCTCCCCCCAGGTGCTGACGTCTCACTCCTGCTCGGAGGAGGGGCTGGAGGATGCAGCCAACGTCCTGCTCCAGCTGTCGCGGGGCGACTCGCCCACCCGGGACACGGTGCTGCGGCTCCTGCTCAGTGGGGCCCGCCAGCTGGGCTACACCCTCTGCAAGCAGATCGGTAACGGGGCGGGGCACGGGGGCAGGGTGGGGGGTGCTGGGGGGCGGGGCCAGCAGGAACTACCTGGGGGGCTGCAATAAGTGAGGTGTGGAGGCCCTGACCCCCCGCTCCCCCCCAGGCACCCTGCTGGCGGAGCTGCGCGAGTACAACCTGGAGCAGCAGCGGCGGGCGCAGTGCGAGCTGCTCTCCCCCGACGGGCTCCCCGACGAGCAGCCCCAGACCACCAAGCTGAAGGGCAAGATGCAGAGCCGGTGAGTGATGTGCCCCCCCGGCCCCCCGTCCCGTGTCCCCCCCCGGCCACCCCCGCTAACCCCCCTCCCGGGCAGGTTCGACACGGCGGAGAACGTGGTGATCGTGGCCTCCCAGAAGCGGCCCCTGGGCGGGCGGGAGCTGCAGCTCCCCTCCATGTCCATGCTGACCTCCAAGACCTCCACCCAGAAGTTCTTCCTGCGCGTGCTGCAGGTCATCATCCAGCTGCGGGACGACACGCGCCGCGCCAACAAGAAGGCCAAGCAGACGGGCCGGCTAGGTAGGGCTGGGCCCGGGGGCTGAGGGGATAGAGGGGGGCTGGGCCCGGGGGCTGAGGGGATAGAGGGGGGCTGGGCCCGGGGGCGTTCTGGGCCGGAGGGGGACCAGGGCTGAGCGAAGGGGGCGGGGGGGCGTTCTGGGCCGGAGGGGGACCAGGGCTGAGCGA